CATGTGAATCGGGCTCTGGAATGGTGGGAGGGACCTCTTCAACGATGACAGTGGCCTCTTGAACGGTGGGGGGGACTCTTGAGGGAGGATAGGGGCCTCTTGAACGATTGGAGGGGACTCTTGAGGGATGACAGGTGAGTCGGGCTTCTTCTTGCGGAGTCTTCGTACCATTGGGGTGAACGAAGACGTAATAGCACGTCCACGCCGTCTGATGCGTGAACTCCGTCGTGTAAGGAAAACCCGACATAAAGCATCCACCTTATCGAGCCGCTAAAAAAAATTAATACATAAATCAGTAAATAAACAAACATGATATTAAACAAAGACAAATATGTTTCAAACTAGCATTGTATTCACCCAAGTCATTATTCTATCATAGTTCACAAAATGCTCAGATAACATTCCAGAAGTAAGCACTTATATAAACATTTAAAAGGACAACATATATAAACATTCCAGAAGAAGAATAGTTTACTTTTGCAACACGAAACTTAAAATCGCAACGCGAGATTGACTATCGCAACTCGGAAATGGCTATCACAATGTGAAATGCAAATCGCAACGACAAAATCGCAATGTGAAATGAAAATCGCAACGACAAAATCGCAATGCGAAATGAAATCGCAACGCGAAACACAAATCGCATTGCGATTTTCATTTCGCGTTGCGATTTTGTCGTTGTGATTTTCATTTCGCATTGCGATTTTGTCGTTGCGATTTTCATTTCGTATTGCGATAGCCATTTCCGCGTTGAGATAGTCATTTTCGTGTTGCGAAAGTAAACTATTCTTCTTCTGCAAATTGAAACTTGAATTGATTGCATTACTTCAACCAAAAGACAAAAACAAAACCAAAAACAAATACTAACAAAAACAGTTTAGCAGTATTGGCAGCAACCGAATGAATTACGAGTATGAAAAATCTTAAACTTACCTCGTTGCGTAGAGTATGAACCTCATTCTGCAACGATGCTACCATCTCACGTAGAGCGGCTACCTCACCGCGTAATGTAGACACCTCAACACGCCATGCACCATCGTCTTTGCGTAAAGTACCGACCTCCTCACGCAAGGCATTGACCTCATCACGTAACTCCCCTAACTCATCCCGTTGAGGTGGAGGTGGAGAACAGGGAGATAAACGTCGTGGCATCTTTGTCGGTCGCCTATCTTGCGGTGATGGTGGAGAAGAGGCTCGATGATGTGACAGAATAGGTGATGGCTGTCGTTGTGGAGGTGTATAGTCGGGTCGATCAGATGATGGCTCTGGGTGAGGTGATAGCTCTGGGCGAGGTGATGGATCCCGAAGTGGAGGCTGCTCATCAACCGTTCCATCAAAAAAACGCTTACTAGCTTGCCACCCGTGGGTGTCAGCCTCTGTAGAGGAGTGTTGGCCTCCTAACAATATAAAAGCTCAAACAAAGTTAAACGTGTACTAGTAATAACTTGTTTATAAACATATGGTAGTATTTATGTTAACTTATATTATTTATTTTCGTATACCGTAGTAAATCTTCCCATTGCAAGGTCTGTTTCCTCTTCCAGGAAATAGCCCTGGGAATATCATTTGAAGTTTTTATTGCATATGTCTTCATGGTGGGAAAGGCCTCAAATATCCAAATCTACAAACAATATAATAACAAACATTAGTAATTGTTAAATAATTACTTATAATTTTGGAAACATTATATAAAAATTCTTACCTTAAAGGCCCAAATAAAGCCTGTCAAAGTGTATTTGGAACCATCGCCATGCAAACGTTTTCGATCATCCAAGGCAGACGATAACTTATTCCATATAGCTTTCCATAAATACGAGCCCCACGGAAACAGGTTCCACACATTTGGGTCTTCTACCAATTTGATTAGATCATTTGGAATAGGTTGTCTTGCCTCTCTGCCTAAAAAGCCGGCATACAAAAGAATTAGAAGGCATACTCGGACAACGTCGACGTCATCCATCCGAGTAAAACCATCTTTCTTATTCAACAATCTTGTCAGGTCTTCTACGTGTAGATTCGGCCTCTCCAGCTCAAGAAAAACCCGGGATAGCCATGATGGGCGGGTAATGTGTCTAGTGTACCGACCTACATCATCGTGTCCGAAGCGTAGACCGGTGATTAAGCAAAACTCCTCCCGCCCAAAACACGTATACGCCGGTGAAAAATCAAACCATATCTCTTCATCACGACGTTGTATAGTCTCTGGTAGATCGCTAGTCATGGTTTGAAGAAACAGGTGTGTCAACATCGCATCTCCACCGGGATGTTGTACTTTCAGCCATGGCCCGAAGCATGTATCCTCAAACATTTTTCTTTGTGCAGGTGAAAGCTTCGACGCAATTGTTTTGGCCAGGCTGACTTTATTTCTTAAGGTCAATTGAGCCGAATAAAAGTTCTACAAAAACAATAAACATACTAAGTTAGATATACCAAAAACTACACTGTGAAGATATACCAAAAACAATAATAAACATAAAGAGTAGTAGTTTATTCTTCAAACTTAAATTTGCAACACTGTTAATTTCGTATTTGTCTTTGTTTTTTGGTTGAAGTAATGCAATTCATTCAAGTTTCAATTTGCAGAAGAAGAATAGTTTCTGAAAATGAAAATCGCAACACGAAAATGACTATCGCAACGCGAATTTGACTATCGCAACGAGAGAATCGCAACGCGAAACTAAAATCGCGTTACGATTTTCATTTCGCGTTACGATTCTCGGTTGATTTAATAAGCAATCTAAGTGAAATGGTTAATCTATTATTGAAATTACCAGTAAACTTATCATCAATTTCAATATGAAAAACCTAATAATAATGCAAAAATTTCAAAAAGAAAATAATTAAAAAAACTAACCCTCGTTGGTTGATTTGTTGATTTTCCATTTCTGATTGTGAGGGTGGCTCTGAGAGATGGAGATAGACGGATTTTACCGGAGATGGGGACGGATTTCGTCGGAGATGGGTGAGAGAGTGAGAGATGGAGATGGGACTGAGTTGTGATTTTAGGTTTTAGGTTCTGAATTGGATTACGGGATATACTGTGGACGGTTCAGTGTTCCAATATATTAATATTCGTGTTTGGAATTTAAAAATAAAATACTTGGCCAGGATACTAATGGCGCTTTGAAAATCGTATTGCGATTATGTATTATCGCGTTGCAAAAGTCAGAATCGCGTTGCGAAAGTCAGTATCTCGTTGCGATTTTGTATTATCGCATTGCGATAGTAAGTATCGCATTGCAATAGTCAGTATCGCATTGCGATTTTCCCAATTCGCGTTGTGATTTACTTATTCGCATTGCGAATTGGGAAAATCGCAACGACACTGTAGACCATTGCAACGCGAATTTGCGATAATGGAGATCGCGTTGCGAATTAGCGATCGCATTGCGATTTTGTTGGTCATTTTGGCAAATCCAGAAAAAGTTGGTTAAAATCGTATATTATATAGGATTTTTGGTCACTGAGGTTATTTTCTCCCTTTATAACCCTTACTAGATAATATATTAAATACATATATAAGGGTAAACTACATCACTCATCACTCAACTATCTTCTCACTACTATTTTGATCACTAAAGTTTAATTTTTTTTAATTTAATTACTAAACTTTTGAACTATTCCTATTTCAATCACTCACGCTGACAATGGATTATTTTATTGTAATATTAAATATTTTATTAATATTAAATGTCACATAAAATTAAAATAAAAAATTTTAAATTCAAAATTATATTCCTAAATATTAGATCAAAACCTTAATCTCAAATTCATACCCCAACCCTAAAACTCATAATCACATCATCTTGTTGATTTTTCTACCTCCAGCTACACCACATCCCGTCACTCCTCCATCAGCTTCACCTCACACAAGTCCAAAAAATATATTATTATTGTAAAAATAATTGCATTTTCACGATTGAAAGGAAATAAAAATAACCAATGAAAAAATCAAATAAAAAATAGGGTAAATTACACGGTTCATCACTGAACTTTACCCTCTCTCATATTTTGCTCACCCAACTTTCAATTTTTCTATTTTGCTTACTGAACTTTGCATATTGCATTATTTTGCTCACTCCATTAAGCTTATAACGTCGTTATGGTGTAGAATAGTTTAAAGTTTATAGCTGGATGACATGGAATAGTTTAAAGTTTATAGCTGGATGACATGGAATAGTTTAATAATAAACAACTCAATGGCGTGGAATAGCTTATAACATTAGATTGCATTATTTGGTCATTTATTTAAACACAAGCGTGAAATCTCTAACCCTAAATATTCACACTGAACAAGTAAAAGGAAAATAGGTCGAGCAAGGAGATGGAAGAAATGTCTGCCTCAAATTTTGTTTCGATATACAGGTGTGGAATTCTGTCGATATTGAAGACAACATGATCGAATGATTATCCACGACACCAATATTTAATGTCGTCGAAATTTAGAGCAAGTGGTGGAGTTGTGGGAGGTAAAGAAGTCAATGGAGGTGGGATTGTTGGAAGTAGAGAAATTGGGGCGGAGATGATATGATTGGATATAAATTTAAGAATTTAGGTTTAGATCTAATATTTAGGAATATAATTTTGGATTTAAATTTTATTTTTTATTTTAATCTTATGTGGCATTTGATAATAACAACAACAACAACAACAATAATAATAATAATAATATATCACATGTGAGTGATCAAGAGTAATTTGAAAGTTTAATGGTGAAATTAAAAGCATTCAAACTTAAGTGAGTAAAATAAAAGTAAGAGATAATTGAATGATAATGGTGTAATTTACCCAATAAATAATTAGTGAGCTTGTGCATGTTTCCTAAGACGGCCCAATAAGTTGTTACACTAAAAATATAAAAAGGTCCAATATAAAGAAGTCCAGATGATTCTAGTTAATTCTCGATCTTTCCTGTACTGACACAAGTACCAGAAAATACCAGATTCCTCTTGAGCTTCTTATAAATACCCAACTCTTGCACTGATTAGCATCAAGAAAGCACTATCAAATATTCACTATTAGCTATAATCTTTCGTGTTCAAGTTGTCTTTGTTTCGTACTTTTAAGAGAAATGGCGATGATTCCGAGTTTGTTCGGCAACCGAAGGAGCAGCATCTTCGATCCATTCTCGTTTGATGTTTGGGATCCAATCAAGGAATTTCCTTCACATTCTTCACTCACCAGCAGCCAAACCTCCGATGCCTCTGCATTCGTCAACGCCCGAATCGATTGGAAGGAGACTCCAGAAGCTCACGTCTTCAAGGCTGATCTCCCTGGGCTTAAGAAAGAACAAGTGAAAGTGGAGATTGAAGAAGACGGTGTACTTCAAATCAGCGGAGAGAGGAATGTTGAGAAGGAAGACAAGACTGATACTTGGCACCGGGTCGAACGTAGCAGTGGGAAATTCAAGAGGAGATTCAGGCTGCCTGAGAACGTGAAAATGGATCAAGTTAAAGCTTCCATGGAAAATGGGGTTCTTACGGTTACTGTTCCCAAGGTGGAAGTGAAGAAGCCTGACGTCAAAACCATTGAAATTTCTGGTTAAGTACCCTCTGTTTGCTGTTTTTGTTGCTAATATTAGAACATGTTTACTCTTCGTTCGACAAGTTTTCAAATGTTATTTTGTCATGTTAAAGTGATGAATAAAGTCAAGTCTGAGATTGTGCAGAGAATTTGGCGTGTAACCCTATCTATAATGTAAAAATGATTCTATAAATGTGAAATGTAATTGTTAATTTTTTTTCAACTACGTGTGCGTTATGATAAACCAAGAATCATCTAGAACAAGTGGCATAGCTGAAGTTCCGTTAGATAGTGCTTAAGATATCTCACATGGTCTTATCCTCATGATCTTTTACGCCATTAGGGCTGAAAATATGCTGTGGTCTGTTTGTTGACAAGCAATAAGTTCCCTACAATGTTGAATGAAAACCAACCAAAGTCCAGCAAAAGATTGGAGTATTCGATGTAGGAAGATAGGGAATGAAAAATGATGGATTAAGATCAAACATGGTTGAAAGCCTGAAGCTTCTATAACAAAGGACTCTTTAAAACTTAAGCTTAAACTTTAGCGGACAGTGGGGGGTCAGGCTCCTACATTGCAACAAGCGTTCTTAATAAATAGCTTTGTCATGGCCTACAACTTAAAATGGTAAAAAGGAGGCCAGTAGGGAACCGGCTAAAGATTGAAATTGGACAGTTTGGTGCTTAAGATTTTAAGCATACGAATCATTTTCATGCTTCAGACAAGCAATGTTGGAAGGGATTTTAGACTAATTGGATAAGAATAGTAGAAAATAGTGTATTTAGTATGAAAGCAGCCAAGGAAGAACAAAAGCAATTTCAAGAACATAAGGCTTTTTATACTAGAAAACTAGTTGTATGCAATCTATTTCAATGCCAGTCAAAATGCATGCAGATGCAAGTGAGAAGAACGTTAGTGATCAAAATTGTTGCAAACAAATCTTTTCCACAAACTTTAAAATCATTCCAGTCAGTCCTTTCTTAGACACCATTAGCTTTTTGTCCAGATCAGTAAACCACCCTAGTTTGTTTTTTTCCTCATGAAGATGTTTACACGGCGGTATACATCCACGCAAGTAAGCTTAAACAGGAACATCCAGCCGCTAAAGGAAAATAAATATAAAAAATTTATAACATTTCCAAGAACCAAAAACTGGCTTGTGTTTCTTCGTTGCGGTAACTCATAGGACAAGTCGTTGTGAAGAGAGCCTGAAGTGTGTCCTACAGGCTTGAACTTGTCAAAATGATATTATTTGTTGGGATGCAGGCCATGTGATTTCTCCCGATAGATGTCTCCGAAGCATTCTATCTTAGCCACTCAATTTGACTGAGACTGCTGACCATATACATCATTTGCTATTTATAAATACAGATTCCAATGGATAGCTTCACCCTGTGCCAAAGCCTTTCCTAGCTACTTCTTTGAGTTCCAATTCCACGCTCTCATTTCCTCATCTTAACAAATCTCACAAACACCATGGGTTTCCGATTGCCAAGAATTGTTAATGCTAAGCTGAGTCTGAAATGGACTCTTTCATCTTCGGAGACTACAGTTGTACCCAAAGGCCACTTTGCTGTTTATGTTGGAGAAGATGAAAAGAAGAGATTTGTAGTCCCGATATCATTATTGAAGCATCCTTCATTCCAGAATTTGTTGAGCGAAGCTGAAGAAGAGTTTGGTTTCAACCATCCTATGGGTGCTTTGACAATCCCTTGCAGCGAAGAAACTTTCATTGATCTCACTTGCAGCCTGCAAAGCTCTTGAGAAGAAATGGCATGAAAATAGGCTAACCAAGCAGAGATTGACTGATCTTTAGCTCAACTGACACCTCCCCAATTTTATCGTTTAGGGATCAAGCGTGTAAGGTGGATTGTTATCTGCAGTCCCATGCCCTTGTCAAATGTATTAATTTTTGTAACCAATGTATAAATGCCAAATTTCTTTCAGAGAAACTCTTTCTTTTCATGAATTTTGTTTATGATGTATGTGTATAATTTCAGTCAAAATATATTCCCAAGCATTTTATTTCACATTCTGCCATTATTGATTACTTGATCTATTAGACGGAGTCCAATAGTTTTCAAGTTTTATAAATTATAAATATTTATATTTATATTATAATTATTAATTTTACCTTTACATGGTAAGAGAAAAACTAAAATTAAAATTCTCTCAGTCCTGGTTGAAAACGGTTCAATGCATTAACAATGCCTATTTGCATGGAAATTCAACTTATTTCCATACAAATTTAATAAATAAATGCGAGGAATTTCGAAAATAAATTATCCTCGGTTTAATGTATGGTTTTGAGGATTAACCTAATTCATATGGATCTGTAGTCTACATTACAAGATTGGTCGGTGCTTCTGTTCAACCAATTGCATAGAAGATCGAGGCTTTCCTCAATTGTTGAGAGCACAAATTAAACAATGTCACATGGATTGGCAATTAGTTTTATTCTGATCTATTTAACTCTTCTATTCTAATTATCTGGAAACATGTAGGGCTTTGCATACCCACAGGTTTTGCTGGTCACCACTCGACTATTAATTGGCATTTCATCCATATGATCTGCTAAGCTAATGTTATTATCATCTGATTAATAGTATTTCAAATTGGTTCCATTGAATGTTCAGCTATGGTAGATTTGTAACAGACTGAACTTAGTTACCAAACTTGTCAAAATGTCATGGTTTGTTGGGAGGCAAGACCATGTGATTCCCCAAACCATATATCTTCTAAAGATTTCTCCACTGGAATTTCTTCTGGACCACACATTCAGCCTAGATTACTTGACCAATTCCTTAAACCATTTTCTCTGTAAATACACATTTTAAGAACAACCCCTCACTGCCAAAGCCTTCCCAACCAAGCTACTTACGTTTCTTCTATCTACCACAAGTGAAAAGAATCCACATTCATCACAAAATCATGGGTTTTCGCTTGCCAAGAATTGTTAACTCCAAGAGTCTAAAACGGAGTCTTTCGTTTTCAGGGACGACAAAGGTTTCCAAAGGCCACTTTGTTGTTTATGTCGGAGAAGCTGATGAAAAGAAGAGATTCGTTGCCCCAATTTCATTTCTGAATCATCCTTCCTTCCAAAAGTTGCCAAGTGAAGCAGAAGAAGAGTATGGATTTAATCATCCAATGGGTGCTCTGCCATCCCATGCAGTGAAGAAGCCTTACTTGATATCATTTGCTGTTTCAAAAGCTCATGAAAGTTAGATTTGGTAACAGCTAACCATTTGTATTACATAGGAAGGGAGTGTAATTGGTGGATTGTTTTATGCAATCCCTTGCACTTGCCGAGTACAATTATTTTTTGTAATCGTTCTTTAAAACATATTCTTGTGATTGATATTTTTCTGACTACTTCTACGTTACATCTAATTTGAAAGCAAAACAAATTAAAACCCAAATCTTGAACATCTGTGGATTACTTACTCATTAAAGTTTAATCCAGGAAAATGATAAAAAGGGGAAACTTAGATTCTATATGTAGATGTAACTAACTAAGGGAAATGAGACAATTTGATATGTGATGAACGAGTAATGAATATTAACCCTTAGAAGTATAAAGACTTAGGGGTTGTTTGTTTGCCTCTTAATGGAACCATTCAGTGCTGAATGTTGAACCGTTCAACATTCAGCGCGTTTGTTTCACACCTCTGAATGATTCAGTGCTGACTGATTCAGTAAAACAGTGTGGAATGATTCAGCACAAAAGTACATTCTGAATGATTCAGAGTCATTATCAAACAGCATGTCACATTCAGAGTTAATTCATACAGAGCCTCTGAATCATTCAGCATTTGAATCATTCAACGCTTAATCATTCTGAAGTAAACAAACAACCCCTTAGCTTGCATCAATCTAGGCACACTGACAGCCATTGCTATTAATAATTTGGAGCGTAGTGGATCAGAGAAACTCTAAAAAATGAATGCTAAAATTTACTTGTATAGGAGGATATGAGAATGACTTGGCTGTGGTGATAGAGGAATGTATATAGGAATCGAAGGAAAGTTACAAACGAATCCATGTTATATAGGTGAGTTCATTGGAACCAGAATTTGAAGTTCTTTCTTATACAAAATGTTTCTGTCTAGCCTAATAACATGCCACCGGAGTACAAGTCTAATCAGACCTAGATATCGAAAAACAAAAAAAAGGAAATAAGTTGAATTTCCATGCAAATTGACCCTGTTAGTTTATGTATCCGTAGGTTAAGTGATAAATGATGATAGAATTTGAAATAAACAGCTTCAGAACTTGGAAAATAGAGTTTGGCTGAAATTATCCACATATGACATAAGAAGAAAAATTAATTAATACAATTGACAAGGGCATGTAATTGCGAAAAACAATCCACCTTACACGCTTCCTAAAAGAAATAAAATTTGGGAGGTCTCAGTTGAGCTAAATATCAGTCAATCTCTGCTTGGTTAGCCAATTTTCATATTTTCATGTCATTTCTTCTCATGACTTTTGCAGACCGCTAGTGAGATCTACAAAGGCTTCTTCGCTGCAAGGGATTGTCAAAGCACCTATAGGGTGATCGAAACCAAATTCTTCTCCAGCTTCACTCAACAAATTATGGAATGAAAGATAATTCACTAATGATATCGGGACAAAGAATCTCTTCTTTTCAACTTCTCCAACATAAACAGAAAAATAGCGTTTAGGCACCCATGTTGTCTTTGTATCTGAAGATGAAAGAGTTCGTTTCAGACCCGCTTAGCAATAAAAATTCTCGGCAAGCGGAAACCCATGGTTTGGGCGAGACTGGTAGATGAGGAAATGCAAGGGTGTATTGGAACTTAGAGACCTAGTTAGGAAAGACTTTGGCATAGGGTGGAGCTATCCATTAGAATTTGTATTTATAAATGTTGAAAATCAACCCCAACCCATTATAAAGAACAACCTACCCAATCCATTTTATCTAAAGGCAACACAATGGAATTTTCTCAATTTAATGAAGTAGGTGGAGTAGGTGACAATAATGTATGACTAGCAATTTAATGGAGTAGGTGGAGTAGGTGGCAATAATATATGACTAGCAATTTAATGGAGTAGGTGGTAATAATGTATGGCTAGGAATATTTCTCAATTTAATATTTGTATGGTATAGGTTGCATGGTGAAGACTATAAATACCCCCTTGCATTTGAGTTATGAATCATCCAAAAATTTGAGTGTAGTGTCTTGAGTATAAGTTGTGAGCCTTCTATTGAGTGTTTATTTCTCTTCAAATTGTGAGTGGTCTTTTGAAAGTGTTGTAGTATCTTTTATTGTGGGTAATACAAGTAATTTCTTTACTTGTTTGGGTCCAATATTAGTAAGTTTAGAGTTGTATACTCTAAATTTTTCTCAACTATTGCAATCAGAGACACGTTATAAGGTCTCTTAAAATTCTGAGTATGTTCTGTGGCTGTAATTTTAACTGATCTTCCACATCAAAAAAGATTTTTTTGAGATTATTGTCGGGGTTATTACAAACCTTGTGGAGCTTCTTTGTGTTTAGAGTAATTTAGTACTATGTACGTTTGTTACTCAAGCTTGTTCGGTGTAGTCAAAGACTTGCCATTAAGATAGGTGACCCTCAAGTAATTGGAGGAATCAAGAAGCTCAACAACAAAAACTACAACACGTGGGCAACATGTATGGAGTCATACTTACAAGGTCAAGACCTTTGGGAGGTTGTCGGTGGTGGTGAAGTTATACAACCAGCGGCAGAATATGCCAATGACATCTTGCGAAAGTGGAAAATTAAAGCAGACAAAGTGATGTTTGCTTTAAAGACCACAATTAAAGAATAAATGTTGGAGCACATCCGAGATGCTAAAACACCAAAGGAAATATGACACACTTTTGTTACACTATTTTCAAAAAAGAATGATACAAGATTGTAACTTCTCGATAATGAGTTACTATGGATGGTGCAACACGACATGACGATTGCTCAATACTTTCACAAGGTAAAATCGATCTGTCGTGAGATTTCGGAGTTAGATACGACAACTCCTATTGGGGAAACCATGATAAAGAGAATAATTATCCATAGTTTGAGACCCGAATATCGAGGGTTTGTTACGGCTGTATAGGGATGGCCAACACAACCATCGCTTGTTGAGTTCAAAAATTTGCTTGCAGGTCAAGAAGACATGGCCAAGCAAATGGGAAGAGTCTCGTTGAAGGGTGAAGAGGAAGCTGTAACACCCCCAACCCGTATCCCAACCCGGATACGAGTCAGAGATATTACATTGACTTTTAAAACACAACTCATTACAAATAATAGTAAAATACTTGAACTTATATTACGAAAAATACAATAATATACATATGGTAATATAAGTTTACCAAAATATTCAGAGCATACACAACTTAACTCTTTAATTACATGCCAACATCCATTTTCATAACAAAATGACCTACTGATTAAGTTGCTTCTGATCTGATAGTTGCAGGAGTAATGTTGTCCAGTTGATTAACCTCGATCATCTACTTTATCGGATCCTACGTGTGAAACACTCACACGCTAAGTCATCGACTTAGTGAGGCAATAATATAATAATAATATCAATAAATATAAAGTAATTGCCAAAATGAGAGGGGTTGCAGTAATAAGATGTATGTAAACAATGCAATAACCAAAACCATGTTTCTTACACATATACTTATCAAATTCACATTCATAAGTTCGCCTTAGTAAGTTCATTAGCCCATGGTACCATACAGAGAACCTAAGGTATGTGAGTATTGTGAGGTTGTGCACTATGCTGTCACCACAGCTCAAATAATTGCACCTAAGTGCCACGTAGAATTACACCGGAGTGCCGCGTAGAATTGCACCGTAGTGCCATATAATAATGTCCATAAGGACCACATATCATTCCTTAAGAATCATATACATATGCCAAGGATCAAGTATGTGTCTCACCAGACTTCACACATGTTCCAAAGA